CATTATTATTTTTTTTGAAGGGTTTATTACCCCCGAAAAAACAATCCGCCAATCAACTAGGAACTGTGTTCCTGTTTACTGCTAGGTAAACAGAGGCGTGTGGAATAAGGAAACTTGCCTAAGGTTTTGCCGTGCCTGGGAACTGAACCCAGGTCCTCTTGCTTGCGAGGCGAGTGCTCTAACTACTAAGCTACAGGACTCCACAGAAGTTTCATCATTATAAGTGCCATATCAAATGCAAGTATTATCAGTTGAGTTTTGATTACATTTTTCAGAGCATTAGCAGTGAATGCCAATTCTGGCTCCTTCCAAACTGAATCCGCATTACTCCAATGAAAATGAAATCCTTGCAATCTGCGGTGAATCCAAGAGGCAGGAAAGGTCTCATAATTAAAATAATCCTTGCATTTAATGCAACACCTTATCACTCATTTGAGACATCCCAAAGCGCTTCACAGAAGATACTGTAAAGCGAACTGTCTGTATGTATTGTGGGTGAAAAGCAACAGCCAATTGCACACAGCAGTGTCCCACAGTGCCTTAGATTGAGTGACTACATTTTTTTAAATGGATTATTATCATGGTCTGTACTTAAGATCATCGTCTTGAAGTTAAAGTGAGTGAAAAATTTTTAAACATCTGATTTAAAAAACATTTTTCTTTGAAGTTTTGCTAAAGACTAAATTGAAGAAATTTACCAAATTCTGCACAATTGTAAATTTTAAGTCAGTGATTTTAAACCTGAGCAACACTGGTATGCGGCAATAACAACAACTTGCATTTATGAAGCTCCTTTCATAAGGAATGGGCAAGGCAGAGGGATTGAGGGATTGAAAGCAATTTGATGCAGTCAAATTCTCACTGAAGATACTTGGAAACCCGCTGCTTACATTCTAAATGTACAATTCTCCCAAATAATGTAATCGACTGCCACGTTTTGCCCACAATATAAACAGTCACTACACTTTACAGTATATTCTGTGAAGCACTTTGAGACGTCTCGATGATATGATGCGGCGCTGTATCAAATGCAAGGATCATTATTACAATGGTGGTGCTAAAGGATGTGCTGTCACCCCTTGAAGGCACTGGCAGTGACCTGCGCTGCCTGTAGAGGGCAACAATTTGTTTATCACTCACCAGTCAGTTGGCAATATGTGAAAAGAGGACTTTTCTCCCGACGTCTTGGCCAATAATCCTCCACATAAATTGGTTATTCATTTCATGGCTGTGCGTGCGACATTGCAAACTCGTATTTGCCTACCTTTGTAGGCAAATACGTCCTGTAGTCCTGTAGCTCAGTGGTTAGAGCACTCGCTTTGCAAGTGAGACACCTGGGTTCAATTCCAGGCAGAGGGCGAAACCTTGGGCAAGTTTCCTTACTCCACACAGAGCCTAATAATAATCCCTCCAAAACAAAACAATAATAAATTGGTCATTTTCAATCTACGACTGTTTGTGGGACATTGCTGTGCACAATTGGCTGCCGCGTTCGCCCACAAATATACAGTCAATTCACTTTACAGTCTATTCTGTGAAACGCTTTGAGATGTCGAGAAGATGTGAAAAGCGCTATATCAACTGCAAGCATTATTATTTATTATAAGTACACAATGGCAGGAACACTGTGCCGAATTCTAATTAACTCTGAATGGAACGTTCCTTCTCTATTGCACGGATTGTTTGAAATCTGAATCAAAAACAAAGGATATGGAATGTACAGGACAAGAAAAGGCCATCTGGCCAGTCTCAAATTAGAACAAATAAAAATAATTAATAATCCTCCATACTCTACCTGTCACAACCCTTGATCGATTTCTTCGTCAAGTTGGCATCTAATTTACTCTTAAATTTGCTGATACAATCTGGCTCCAGGGTCATCTGTTCCACACATTCACATTGAATCTGGAGCCCAGTAATATATTGGATAGAGCACTCACTTCACCTGCGAGAGGACCTGGGTTTGATTCCCAGGAGGGGCAAAACGTTAGGTAAGTTTCCTTACTCCACTGTTATTAGCAGCAAGTAGGAACCCAGGTTGTTAATGGCTTTTCTGGGGGTAATAATTACTTCAATGTTTTTAAGATAATAATAATAATAATCCATGCATTTGATATAGCGCTTTTCACGTCTTCTCGATGTCTCAAAGCGCTTCACAGAACACACTGTAAAGTGAATTGACTGTATATTTGTGGGCGAACGCGGCAGCCAATTGCGCACAGCAATGTCCCACAAACAGTCGTAGATTGAAAATGACCAATTTATTATTGTTTTTGGTTTTGGAGGGATTATTATTAGGCTCTATGTGGAGTAAGGAAACTTGCCCAAGGTTTCGCCCTCTGCCTGGAATTGAACTTAGGTCTCTCGCTTGCAAAGCGAGTGCTCTAACCACTGAGCTATAGGACTCTCCTCTTCAACCACGCTTTCAGCCACCATCCTAACCTCTCTTCCCTCCACTCACCCTGATCTAAATCCACCCCTAACCCCTCCAAATCCCTGACTTTCCAGTGCCTTGGGACGTCCTTCCGACTTGAAAGGCGCAATACAAATGTAATTCTGTATTGTAATTCTGTCTGTATTGACTGCCATGTTTCACCCACAAAATATGCAGTCAATTCACCTAATACTATCTGTTCACATATCCTCTTCTGAGCTCAAATCATCACTTTTTGTTCTAGATTTTTGTGACCATGTTAAATACATTGTTAGGTTTCATTTTATCTGTTTCTGTTAAGATCTTAAATACTTCAATAAAATCTCTCCTGGGTCTTCTCATCTCCAGCGTCAACATTCCATCTTTGTACTCATAACTCAGATGCCTAATAATCCTTACTTTTATACCATTGATCAATCTAGTCCACTTCATTGCACCTTCACCAATGTCAACATAGCATGGCTCAACTGGAAGCATTCATGCCTCTGGGTTGCAGGTTGGGACTTGAGCTCACAGTTTCAGCATTCCAGCTAAGTGCTGCGGGAGCACTGCATGATAGGTTAGTCATCTGTCAGGTGATATGTTCACAAGATCACAAAATTGGTTTTTTGATTGAAGAAGATCATTCAGCCCAACCAACCTCAGCAACTTCCTAACCCCCTACCAAGCTCAGCGTGCTCCGGCCTGCTTCAAGTCCCCCACCTCGCCTGCCCCACCATTGATGAGTCGTCTTCAGCCACTCAGCTCCCACTCTCTGGAAATCCATCCCGCAGTCCCTCTGCCTCGCCCCCTCCCTTGCCTCCTTCAAGACCCATCTCAACACCCTCCTCTTCGACTGTGCCTTCAGTCACCCTCCTCCCCCCCCACCGTCCACTATCTCCGATCCCGTCCCCAGCTCGGGTCCGAAACACTGATTGTCCAGTGCCTTGGGACGTCTCCCAACGTGAAAGGCGCTATACAAGTGTAATTTTGTTGTTATTGTCTTTGTAAATGAAGAACAATCAATAAACATGTATCTGACCTTGATTATGAGGACCTTGATTATGAGGAAAGGCGAGAGAGGCCGTGATTATTCTCATTGGAGCAGAGAAGGTTACGAGGACCTAATAGACGTCTTCAAAATCATGAGGGGATTTGATAGGTTAAAAAGGGAAAAACTGTTCCCACTGGTGGGTGTGTCGGTGACTCGAGGTCACAGATTCAAAATAGTCTCTAAAAGAAGCCGAGGGGAGGTGAGAAGAAATTTTTTTCACAGCGAGTTGTTCAAATCTGGAACGCATTGCCTGAAAGGGCGGTCGAGGCCGATTCGATAACTACTTTTAAAAACGCGATGGACGGGTATTTGAGGAGGACGGGTTTGCAGGTTATGGGGAAAGGGCCGGAGAGTGGGATTGATATTACATTGCTCTTCTTAAAGAGCCGACACAAACTCGATGGGCCAAATGGCCTCTTTTTGTACTGTACAATTCTATGATTCTATGATCTGGTTGGCCGATCCCAAAAGTTAGCCACCACTGATCTCAGCTGCGGTAGTTGAACTCACAACTTTATAATAATTCTTGCATTTGATATATCGCCTTATATCAGAAGGATGTCTCAAAGTGCTTCTCTGGGTATACTGTGAAATACATAGTGATTGTATTTTGTGGGCGAAACGTGGCGACCAATTGTGCACAGCAGTGAACACAAATAAACATGGATTGAGAGAACAAATTTATTCTTTTTTTTTAAGGGATTATTACCCCCAGAAAGCGATCCGCGAATTGACTAACAACCGGGTTCCTACTTACTGCTAAGTACATAAAGCGTGTGAAGTAAGGAAACTTGTCCAATGTTTCGCCCTGCCTGGGAATCAAACCCCATCCTCTACTTACAAGGAGAGTGCTCTAACCACTATGCTACAGGACTCAACCTTTTGACCCAATGCCAACAGTTATTCCAAATGAGCCAGGCTGACACCAGTCTGTGAGAGATAAAAGTAATCCTGGAACAACTCATCAACTATGGCTCTACTGCCTCCCTATTGCTGAACGGATCGATTTTGAGATCCTCACACTTGTTTTCAACCCGCTATCTCCCCTCGACTGACTTTGGCCTTCGTTCTTCGTGCACTCCATTCCACCATTGCTGCCCAGAAGTGAGAGCACCTGAGTTTGATTCCCGATTTGCCGCATTTCGTTCACAAAATATACGGTCAATTCACATTATAGTATATTCTGTAAAGCACTTTGAAACATCTAGAAGATGTGATAAGGAACTGTATCAAATGCAAGAATTTTTATTATTGGTGGCTGCACTTTCAGCCACTACACCCGAAAACTCGCAAACATTCTTCCTCTTTCCCTTTGCCTTGCCCCTTCCTTCCCCATCTTCAGGTCATGCCTGAAGACCTTATTTGACCATGCCTATGGTCACCTCCCCTCCCCCGGCTCGGCGCCCTGCTCCGTCACTGTCAAGCGCTCTGAGACGCTATCCTGCGTGAGGGGCGCTATATAAATGCAAGTTGTTGTTGTATTTTTGTAAAAATGGGATTTCAGGAGCTCCAGTTGAAATGAACACACAAGGATAACAATGTAAAAGGTTTAATTCTACAGCCCTGTACCAATTTCCATTGTTACATTTTATCATTTAATAATTAGTTACTAAAATATTTTCTAACTTTATGCTTTTATTCTGTAAAATATGAAGAGGAGGGCAACAATTAAAATGCATTACAAGTGGAGTAATCCACTACAATACCTTCCACTCATATTTGTGCCTTTCACATAGGTGAACAGCTCAGTGCAGCTGAATGAGACACTGAACTAGATGGGGAGAAGGTGATTCAAAGAGGTTGGTATTTCCAAAGGATTTTGAAGCCAAGTAGAAAGTTGCAGAGATTTGGGAGATTATCAGAGAGTAGGAACATAGCTGAAAGTTGCTGATGGTGGGGTTGAGAGGGTAAGGGATGTGCAGCAGACCAGAGTTTGGAAGCTGAGGGAGTTGGAGAGAGAGCGGGGTGGGGGCTGGATGAGATAGCAGTGGCAGGCTGGGTAGGAAGTGGAGAGGTTTGAAGACCAGAATGAGCGTCTTGAAGTCGATCTGCTGGGGATGGAGTCATTGGAGCCTGGCCAGAATGGGGTTGATAGGTATCTAAATTGGGAGAGGATATTATCTGGTGTTAGACTGACAGCAAATACAATGTTGTGTTAAAAGTGTCAGGGCAAGGAGCTCATCATCACCATCATGTGGACATCACAATAGACTATGCACAGTAGAATCATCAACACACAACATCACCTGGGAGGAACACAAAGGAAAGCATGTCAGAGCCACACCTTACAGCAGGACTTAACACTGAAAATGAAATCAGGAACAGCTTTAAAATTACTCGATTGCACAGCAAACTGCATCCTCTGAGTGAATTGTGAGCTGCAGCAACAGGTCAGCACCACCGGCACCACCTAATAACAGACAGCATAGTATCCATTAGCAAAGCCCAGCACCCGAGGGTAACACGCCAAGCCATTGTGCAGCGACTGGTTTCCACAGTTCGTAAAAAGACTGGGTTTCAAAATAAGAATAAATTTCAGCATTTTCTACATAATTCTTGCCATCTTGGGGTAAGGGATTGTGTTCAAAACAATCAACCTGCCTCTGTTGGTAGCACTTTTGTCTCTTAGTCAGACGTTTGACCCACAATGGGACTTTGAGCTAAATAACCAGACTGACACAGTGCGGGGGAGAGCTGCATTGTTGGAGGTCCTGCCTTTCAGATGAGGTGTTAAACCAAAGTCCCAGTTGCTTTGGTTTAACACAAGATTGCCTGTATACGCCGATACCTCTCCCCCTGGGTCTCTGAGCCCTGCATTTATCACGTCCAAACTTGACTATTCCACTGCTCTGCTCGCCAGACTCCCCAGCTCTTCCATTCACAGATTATCCAGACCTCTGCAGCCCACGTTTCTTTCTGCACAAGGTTCTGCAAGCCTATCACCCCCATCCTCATTTGGCTCCATTGGTTCCCCATTGGATTGAGTTCAAAAATCTTTGTTCTCCCCTTTAAATCCCTCCAGGGTTCTGCCATACCCTTCCACTGTGCTATATACCTGTAAATTTGTATTATCTTGGTGTATCTTGAATTTTAGCACAACATAGTCTTTAAGATTAAGACGAGGTGGAATGTTATGCCTCACCTGAAGCCAGGAGTTAGTTACTGGTGGAAGCTTCTCATTGTGGAATTTGCACAGCTGTAAAGGGGAAAATGAAGAGAATCAGGGTGAGGAGGAAAGACATATCAGGTTCTCTCTCAATACAGATCTCTTAAGCTGGGCTCAAGGTGTATAAAAATACAACAATATTGATCCTTGCATTTGATGTAGCATCTATCATGTCAAAACATCTCAAAGTACTTCACAGGGAATTGCGTCATGTGTTCTGATCTATCATATATATGGTTGTTAGTCGATTGTTGGATCATTTTTCCGGGGGTAATAATCCCCTTCAAAAAAAAATGTGGTCACTCAATCCACGACTATTTGTGGGACACTGATGTGCGCAATTGGCTGCCGCATTTCGCCCACAAAATATACAGTTAATTCACTTTACAGTATCCTGTAAAGCTTTGAGACGTCTCAAAGACGTGATAAGGCTCTATATAACATGCAAGGATTATTATTATCTGTAGGTAAGGAATTGTGCTCAATCAACCTGCCTCAGTTGGTAGCATTTTTGTCTCACGAGTCAGACGTTTGACCCACATTGAGACTTTGAGCTGAATAACCAGACTGACACGTTAGTACCGTGCTGGGGGAGAGCTGCAAAGTCCCAAATGCTTATTTAATTAACCCAATTTAAGAAAGTAAGTCCTCCCCGTGTCTTGGCCAACAGTTGGTCCTTCACTTCACGGTTGTTTGTGGGATACTCTGGTGTGCAAATTGGCAGTCGTGTTGGCCTGCAAATACAGTCATAGGAAACTGGGCAACACGCTATAATAAATGCCAAGAATTGTTTTCATCATTAATAATGTGCATTGATGTTCCATCACAGAATGAATTATATTTTATACCATCACAGAATGAATTATATTTTATAGAATAAGACTACACATACACTGTGCTTTACAGTAAACTCCTGTGAAATATCACCATTTTGACACCTGAGGTATAGGTTTACTTTATTAATGTAATATTTTGGAACACCCAGAATTTGGCAAAGTCTTGATTTTGAAGTTATTTTCTAAAAGTAAAGCTGCTCCAGACGTAGTTAAGAATTAGCCGAATCCTATGATGCTCTGAAACGCTATAGAGTAAATCTAGACCCAGTTAAAATTTCTACCCAGAAACACATGAGAAGCAGAATCCGCATTAGCTTTGAAAAGGAGGATTAGATAAATATATGAAAATGCAAAAAAAATGCGAAAAGAGTTTGGAGAAAAGGCAGGAGAAAGAGACTAAACAGATAGTTCTTGCAGAGAGACATACCTGTGCTGTAAAATGGAGTTTGTAGCTTTGTGGTTACTTACCTGAGCAAGAAAGCCTGTGTTCGATTCCTGGGCAGGGTAAAACCTTAGGCAAGTTTCTTTACCCCATAACGCTTCTGTTTACCTCGCAGTAAGTAGGAACCCGGTTGGTGGGACACTGCTGTGCGCAATTGGCTAAGGTGTTTCACCCACAAAATGTACAGTCAATTCACTTTACAGTATATTCTGTGAAGCGCTTGAGATGTTTAGAAGGCGCTATATCAAATGCAAGGATTATTACTATTACTATGTTATGTAAAATATAATGATTCTGTAAATCTCGGATCCAGGCATATTGCTGGCTGTGAGAGATCAGTGTGGAAAGAATCTCTGCTCATTGGGACCTCGCTGCTAACAGCTGGCTGCTGACTCATCTGCCTGGGGCCAAACGCAGAGGCCAGAAATAAAACGCTGATGGCTTAAAAATATCCAGGAAGGGCAAGTAGATGAATCAGTGAAATGGGAGCTGCAGTGGCGTGACATTCCCACCAAGAATGGGAACCCGCTGAGATCGGCAGCACCTGCTGGCCACAACAGCCCCTTTCTGTAATCCAGCCTGGGGAGGATATGGTTTGCCAAATACACAGTGTGACAACAGGATCACAATTATAACAACAACAACTTGCACTTATACAGCGCCCTTCACGAGGGGGCAGCCCCTCAGAGCTCTTAACATTGGTGGAGCCCAACGCAGAGCCGGGGGTGGAGGGAGGAGCTGACCTTAAGCACAGTCAAAGAGCTGGAAGTAGGGAGCAAGTTGGACGGAGTGAGGGAGAGAGTTCCATAATAATATTAATAATTTTTTTTGAAGGGACTATTACCCCTGGAAAAGCGATCCTATATTGGGGTGAGGGTACGATCAGGAATTGTCTTCTATCAACAATCACTGTCTGGCCTTCCTTATACCAGAAAGTTGTCCTGGGAAAGATACTCAGGACTGCTGTTGCAGCACAATTTAGCTGTTTCCATGAACATGTGAACGACAGTACTGCTTCTCCTTACCACTGCTGAGTGTGCTGTCCCTTTAAATAACTTTTGTGAGCAACTCACATCAATATCTTAAAAGCTATTTACTCTTCAGCACTGAGTGCAGATGTGAGCGAGTGGTGTGTGAGTGAAGCACTGTAACTTCTGTAAAGCTGTAGCACAAAGTGCACCAGGCGACACACGGTCAGGGCACGTTAACCTCGAAATCCTCCACTGCTGCATTTGCGGGAGCTGTCTATTTGAAGGGAAACTGAGATATTCCAAAGATGGTTGCCACACAGCTTTTTGTGTGTGTGTGCGTGTTGGTGGGGGGGCAGGGGGGTTATCATATAATACTGTCATCCTTAGAACAATGCAGAGTTTACAAAGTGAGAGTCAGTTAGCTAGGATTAATGATACGTTAATCCCTCCAAATCAAGGCTTGTTTTGGGAGGGATCTGGAGAATGTCCAGAACAGTAGATAAGATATTGCTCCACTTAGTAACTGGATCACTCCTGAACATGCCCAGCTTATCATTGAGACAAAGTTCTCTGAAGACAAATCATTAACATTCTAGTCATCAGCATTTAATGTAAGGTCTTCCTTCAGTGTCAATAGGGATCAACCACTGGGATGTTGGTTTAACTAAAGGGGGGCTAGGAATTTATTGCTGTGTTTGTTTAAGATATAATTTATTGGAAAGTGAGTGGCAGAAAAATCTGACAACACACTGCACCTCGTGTTACAGTCTTGTTAAACATTCCCAGCTCCAGTGGCTCGCATTGCCTCCAGCGGGATCTACCCTGTATCCGCTGGACGAGGTTATGGCAGAAAAACTACAATGCATTTGCTTACTAGCCTCTCAAAGCCCCTTCCCCTCCCTCAGTTTGCAGCCCCCTCTCATTCTCCCCTTCTATCTCACGGCCCCTTCCCATAGCTCATACCCCCATCTACCCCTCTGGCTCTCAGCCCCTCCCCAATCTCCCCCTCTGTCTCATGTAGGCGGACACACAGACACTCTGTGTGTCTCGCTGCAGTCATGGTGTTCACTGGTACTGGGCAGCTCTGGGACCCAATGTGATTCAGCGCCTTTGACATGTTGCAGGTTCTAAAAGGAGACACGGAGCGAGGGCAGCAATGCCAACAGCTGCAGCCTAGATCAGGCCCATTTTCCACCGGTTTCAATTTATTCACAACCCTTCCTGGGAGCTATGTATGTAAATATCCTGTGTGTCCTTTAGGAAGGACAATATGTTAGCATCAATACTAAACCTATTTAATTTCCGTTTCTATGCGTAATCAGTCACAATCAGCAGAATTAGTAAATGTGTGTTAGCAGCTGTTCATCGAGCAGAGCAAATGCCAATGTATCTGATGGCACCGGTACAAGGAGCAGCTTCAGCCTGGAAGTCAATAGAGTCTGCATAGCTTCCTCCTATGTACAGGGCAGAGACTCTCTACATATGGCACCTCTGATACAAGCAGAGAATAGAGCTCTCTCTACACAAGTGTCACCCTGGCTCAGTGAGTAGCATTCTCGCTTCAGGAGACAAAGGGTACAGTTTCAAGCCCCACTTTAGCACTTTGAGCTCATAGTCTAGGCTGACACTCCAGTATAATGCTGGGGTTGGGGCTGCACTGCATTGTAGGAAAAGCTGTTCTGCAGATGAGACATTAAACCGTGGCCCGGTCTACCTTTTCAGGTGGGCGTTGAAGATCCCATTACACTATTCAAAAAGAAAAGAAAGTTTCTCCGGGTATTCTGACCAACAATCTCCCAGATAAAATCGGTCCTTAACTTCATGGTTCTATTCCTGTGTGCAATTTGGCTGTCACATTAGCCTACAAGATATAGTCACAATCTACAGTCAACGCTGTCAAGCGCTTTGAGACATTGACAATGTGATAAGGTGCTATGTCAAATGGAAGGATTATTTATTTACCACATTCTCCCATAAAGGCAAAGACTCGGATTCTCTGCACATCTCACCCTCTCAATACAGAGCCAGAGGCCTTGTGTTTCTCTACACCGTACATACAATTTACATAGTGGCTATATATATTATACACATATACACATACAGTCCACCTACCAGCCCCAGCCCCCCAACCCCCACTCCGCCCACCTACCATTATTATTATTATTGCAAGCATGCTCCTAACCTTTCACATCGAGTCTGCAGTCCACCACTGCTTCCCCGAGGTCATTGATGGCTTTGCAGGTGTAGATACCACCATCAAAGGCGCAGGGTTTGCGGATCTCCAGAGTGCAGATTCCCTCATTGGTCATAACTCTGTATTTGGGGTCTCCTCCAAGAATTATTTGGTTCTTCATCCAAATGACCTTAGGCTGAAATGCAAAATGAAGAGTCATCCAAATTGAGCTGTTCTAGTCTCAAACGTGCATTAAATTATTTACATGAGCTGATTCCAGATGCGCTTATGGAGTGCACATAATGGTTAGGGAGGGCTCTGTTCTTGACAATATTGGAAAATAGGTAAGAGTTTCTCCCAGTGTCATAGCCAACAATCCTCAAGTTGAATTGGTCGTTCACTCCACCATCGTGTGTTTTGCACAAATTGCCACATTTGCCTATAAATGGTCACTACACCTGACCTGGCTGTAATTACCCGAGAAACATTTTGAGCCATTGCAACATTATATAACATAAAGATTATTAAGATCTGTGAATCTATCAGCAACATGGGAGCAATATTCAGGAACTCAAGACTTTTATTTTGGAGAAGGGTTTTGGAAGATCCAACCCTGGTAGTTCAATGCCTTTTACAGAGAGGAGCAGAGGAAGGGACTGACTTATTTTTACGTAATTGAGTTTACAACAGCACACATCGCATTGAGAATATTTAAAAATATTTTGAAACATATTAACAGTCACTGGTGATGAAAGAGACAAATTGCATTTAATGAAAGGAAGCCCTGACAAACTGTCCTGGCTCCCCCCAGTGCTGGATAGGTGGTCACGAATGCACTTACCATAGAGGAAGAACAACTCTTTTCATTGACTTTAGTGTTATGGATGATTACTGCCAATTTCCCTCTTAATTTTCTTGTTTACGTCTGGTTTTCGTCTCTCTTTCCCTGCTTAGCTGACAAGGGGGTGGGGAAAAGAATGGAGAGATCCATGGACAAGCAAGAGGACTGGGCAAAAAGAAAGTGGCCGATAGTTTAACCTTCCCCAGTCCCAGGAACAGACCTGTTCACATTAACCAACATCATATAGTACTAACTGCAGTTGTGGAAGGGAAAAGATCTTTAACTCCCAGGTTTGACCTGATCCTGTTTATCCTAGTTTCCTACATTGTGAATTGATTGTATTGGTTTGGTTTCTGAAGAGATGCACACCAAGGTGCAGAGGATCTGGTTCCAGAGGCATAAAATATCAGTTGTCCTATTTCCTATTTGGAGCTCTGCCACTGCATCTGCTATCCCCTCCCCATCAAATCCTCCTACCCAGGCCCCTACCCATCCCTCCCTCCACACCTTTGAACCTGTCTCCTACGCCTCTCTCATCACCACCATGAAACCTACCACTTGCTCACTCAACCCAATCCCTACCCCCTCCTTACCTTGCAGCTCCAACTCCTAGCCCTTCTACTCACTGACATTGTTAACCTCTCCCTGTCCTCCGGTACTCTATCCACCCTTTTAAAAAACGCTGTCATCACTCCTATCCTTAAAAAACCCTCCCTGGACCCTTCTCTACTCACTAACTACCACCCCATCTCCAACCTCCCTTTCCTCTCCAAGGGTCTGGAACAAGTTGTTGCTTCGTTCCTTCCTCTCTCGCTACTCCATTCTCGAACCCCTCCAATTGGGCTTCCGTGCCACCCACAGCACAGCAACAGCCCCAGTCAAAGTGACAATGATATTCTGTCCATCTATGAGCAGGGCTCCCTTTGCCTTCTCATCCTCTTTGACCTCTGTGCTACTTTCTACACCGTTGTCCACGCTATCCAAATCCATGGCCTTTCCTCTCACCTCAAGCTTTATGGCTCTGTCCTTGACTGGTTCAGATCGTACCTCTCACACCGCCTGTGCTTCATCTCCAAAAATGGTTTCTCCTCCAGCCCCCGCACCTTCTCGTGCGATGTTCCTCAGGGCTCTGTCTTTGGACCCCTCCTCTTCAACATCTATATGCTCTCTCTTGGTGACATAATCCGCAGAAATGTATGGAGCTCTGCATCCACAGACATGTATGCGGATGACGCCCAACTCTATCTCTCTGCCTCCACCCTTGACTCCAGGATCACTGCTGTCCTGACAGAACGTCTGTCAGACATTAAGTCCTGGATGAGAGCTAACTTTCTTCAGTTGAACGTCAACAAAACCGAGGCTCTCCTGATTGGCTCCTGTCAGCACCTCCTCACCTCAGACGCTGACAGCATCACCATCTATGGTTGCTCACTCCCCCTCACTGAGCCAGTCTGGAACCTTGGAGTCTTATTTGACCCTCAACTATTCTTTCTACCTCACATCTGAGCCATGACCCGCTCTGCCTTCCCCACCTCCACAACGTCCCCCGGCTCCACCACTGTCTCACACCGCAGGTCCCCAAGACCCTCATACACACCTTCATTACATCGAGGCTCGACTAAGCAAACTCCCTACTTGTCGGTCTCCCCAACTCCTCCCTCCACAGGCTGCAGATCATCCAGAACTCTGCAGCCCATGTCCTCTCCCGCACCAGGCTCCGTGACCCTATCACCCCCATCCTCGCCCGACTCAATTGGCTTCCCATCACACAGAGGATACAGTTCAAGATCCCGGTCCTCACCTTCAAAGCCTCCACAATCTTGCTCCACCCTAACTCTGCGACTTCCTAACCCCTTGCCATCTTGCTCACTCCCACCGCTCAGCGGCTCCACCCTGCTTCGCATCCCCCGCCGCGCTTTCTCCACTATGGCAGGTGGGCCTTCTGGCACTCTGCCCCACCCTCCGGAACTCGATCTCATAGTGCCTCCGTCTCGCCCCCTCCCTCGCCTCCTTCAAGACCGAACTCAAGACCCTCCTCTTAGACTGTGGTTTCGATCTCCCTGCTTCCTCCCCTCCCCCATCCCTGACCCCAACCCCAGCTCGGGTCCGTAACTCTGTCTCTCCAGCGCCTTGGGACGTCCTCTTGACGTGAAAGGCATTTTACAAATGTAATTTTGTTGTTGATGTTGGGGCTCTACCCCCAAAACCTGTGGATGCTGGATCCATTCAAATTTTCAAGACTGAGGTGGATAGATATTTGTTACGTCAGGGGATCAAGGGATATGGGGCAAAAGTAAGTAAATGGAGCTCAGGTACAGATCAGCCATGATCTAATAGATGGTGGACCAGGTTCGAGGGGCTGAATGGCCTCCTCCTATTCCTATGTTCCTACCTTAGGATTCCCCCTCACGCTGCAAAAGAGTTTGGTGGTGAAGCCTGTGGTGGCTGATCTGTCCGCCAGAGGCTGTGTGAATTTCGGGGCCTCTGCAAAGTTCTTCTCTTTGTATTCTGGAGGCTTGTATGTAACACCTACAAGGGACAAACATAGGCACCAGTCACGTTACTGTAACCTTAAACCACTGCACCAACACACGATAATGAATGATAGGAATTTCAGCACAGGAGGCCATTCGGCCCAATGTGCCACTTCCCAACCAAATGATCCATTCCGCTTGCTTTTCCCTGTCTTCAGATCGCACCTGAAGACCTTCCTCTTCAACCATACCTACAGTCACCTCCCTCCTCCTCACTCGGCGTCAGGCTCCACCACTATCAAGCACTCTGGGACGCTACCATGCACGAGGGACACTGTATAAATGCAAGTTGTTGTTGCTCTTTCCCCCAAAAAATATTTTTACAGCTTAATTCACAAAGCAGCTCATCTCATTCTGATTGAAATACTGGTTATGACTCACTTGTGGTGACACATCCCACCTTATATACCCCCTGCAAGAGTATTGCTTCTAACCTCCTCCTGTACGCTTTTTTACCTGTTACACTGTTGTCAAAAAGTATCTTGAAGCCATACATTTTAATTATTTTGGGACATCCTATTGAAAGGCACTGTATAAAATGTAAATATAATGTATTGTAATTTCCATATAATCGTTCCAAATGTCTACCTTAATTACTATTTTTGGTTAGGTGCCAGATGGATCACAAAGCCTGTAGATTCCTACTTGTCTATCCACATAGTAAACAAGAACAAACAACAACAATTTACATTTATTTAGCGCCATCCACGTCAGAAGGACGCACCCAAGGCTCTGGACAGTTAAGGGTTTTGCACCAGAGCTGGGGATTCGAATGGGGGTGGGAGTTTAGCCAAAGGCACGGTCAAAGAGGAAGGTCAAAATTGGGCCTTGAAGGAGGAAAAAGGGGGTGAGGCGGAGGAACTCAAAACATTTGGTGATAGATTCATATTTTAAGCCTGCACCCTACACATACGTATATTTCTGATATTAAAAATATCTGCAATTCAAATTTAAACACATCAGCAGGAGGCAAAATATATGAGAATTAATATTAGGTCTCTAACCCTATTTATCTACTGGCTGTTATTGAATATTTCTTATTCACCAAAAGGAACAGAACTTCTACTGCATTAAGTAGCAAAGTATTTGGAAAAAAACTACTACCTCCGTGGTTGGCCCACAGAATTTTTTTAAAAAATTGTTTTACCGTTTCAACAACAACTTGAATTCATATAGTGCCCCTCAAATAGGGAAGCATCCCAGAGCACTTGACAGTGGCGGAGAATGATGCCGAGCCAGGGGGAAGTGACTGTACCGTCAAAGAGGAAAGTCTTCAGGCGCGACCTGAAGATGGTGAAAGAAGTGATAAGGCTGAAAGTGCGATCACCGATGGTGGAGAGAAGGGTACGAGGGACATGCAGGAGGCCAGAGCCAGTTTCAGGCATAATCCGCTTAAATTGGAATTCCAAACACCTGGAGTCTGGTAAGATGGGAATTTACTATACTCTTTTTTGGTTTTCAAAGCTTGCAATTGGCGTTTCACACTCAATTGCAAATTGGATCCCAGCCTGCATTGGTGACTCACTTGTTTTGTCGATGTAGGCAGTGCCCTTGGCCTGTGCTGCCACCTCACTCAGTCCACAAAGGTTCTCCGAGAAGACTCGGAAAGTGTACGTGTTGCCCATGATCAGGTCCGAGACGGTACAGGTAGTCATGTGACAATTCTCCAGCACGGTGAACCATTCCTAAAGCCAACAGACAGAGATGTTACTCCCTAGCACATTCAGCTCATTTTAGTGGTATGGAGAATTTCCATTCAATAAAATCTGCAGAATAGCAAAATAACTATCTTTCCACGAAAGCATCAAATTACCAATTGGCCTTTCTCCACAGTCATCGTAGTTGTTCTTAGTGATACCATGGGTGAGTCTCCTCATATTACAATTGTGTAAATGTGTCTTGGGTTCCAAAATGTGGGAATTATTTATCAATGATTCAGTAACGATAGAAATTGCCACCGATCTCAGGGAATTCCATTCTGGAAGACTATATTGGAGCAGAGGTTCCCAGGGTCTTCATGATCAGAACAAGTCTCCATTTGTGTGATTCAGAATCTTTACTAAAGAAGTCGGTTTGAAATCCCACAGATTAGGCCTTTGGGGGTTTTCCAGTGTCACAGGGACCTATTCATTGGTTGGGCATTTATCTACACAGTGACCCACTCATTTATATATGTCTAGCTTTGATTTTGAGATAACTAAAGATTCTTAAATGATATGAAAGCTGTGTAATTATGTGTCATTTGTGGCTAAATGTTTGGCAGTGTATTAATGTTGTTGGAGTACTGAGAGAGAGCTCCAGCTATAGAAATATCAGAGATCCCTGGATAATCTGTACATAGCTCAGGCATGATTATGGCTGATGGTGGATCAGCAGGGGTTGTTTGGACTTGGAATGATTGAGAGGGCTCCTCTCGTTTCTCACACGATCCTCGGCCACTAACTCACAGGCACAATGTCACTAGTGGAAAAAAGTGGTCACGTTTTCCCACTTACTCCAGTTTTCTTTTCGGCTTTCTGGATGGTGTAACCTTTGATTTCCACGTTGCCGTTGTCTTTGGGAGGCTGCCATTCCAGGGCTACATTGAAACCCCAAACATCCAGCAACTTCAGGTTCTGAGGAGGTCCAGGTTGCTCTGGAAAGTCAGCCACAAGTGAGATGCTGTCAGTTGTGACACTTTGCTTCAAATGGTTCTGCAGTGCAAGTACTTAAACTCATAATCTAATAATATTATTTAATAATAATAATCCTTGCATTTGATATAGGGCCTTATCTCGTCTTCGAGACATCACAAAGAGCTTCACAGAATATACCGCAAAGTGAATTGACTATATTCTGTGGGCGAAAGGCGGCAGCCAATTGCACACAGCAGCGTCCACAAACAATGTTGGATTGAGTGACCAAAATATTCTTTTTATTATTTATTTATCTATGCCGGCACCCTGGGTGGCAATAGGAATTGCAAAAGATGCTGTACTTAAGATAAGACTTTAAACAAAGGTTCCATTTGCCTGTTGAGGGGTATAACGGAATTGCTGAATACATAGTCATTCACTTGTTCATCATTGCCGTGAAGCACTTTCCAAGATGTTCTGACATCACAAAGGCATAAAAAATTATAATTTTGTCCATTTTGTTTTGGTAAATGTTGCAGCTAAATGCATGAGTGTTCTTATTGCTGGTATACGAACAGCATCCTGCTTTATACCAACTGTTCACAGATATCGTGCAGTTTGTGGGGTGATTTTCTGTGATAACACTGAGAAAGAAAAACATCTAACTTGGGAACACGTTTACAATGCTTTGCCCAATCCTTTCTCTCAGACAGGATGACTTGAGTGAACAATCTTCCTATCATACTGAGTATAGTGATGTAAAATTATTCGTAATAAATTAAAAGCAGCATTAAGTCAATATGATTTAGTAATCAGTTTAGTAATAATAACCCTTTAGATGGATTTAGCGCCTATAATGTTGAAATTTCTACATCCTACAACCCAAATTCGCCCTAGGAGCTGCCTAGATCATCGGCACAATATGGGTCATGTATATAATCAAGCCTCTTCAGTGCTGTTCGCAGGTGCAAGGATAATGGAAGAAACATCTCTTCAGTTGTGATCATTCAGTTAATTTATATCTATATTGATAAGCACATACAGAGGCAAATATCCACAAATACATACCTATGATTTGGATGTCAATTAAAGCTTCATCCACCAGGTCACTGACCTGGAGGGTCATCTTGAACTTGCCCGAGTCTTTCCTCTCAGCCTTGCGGATGAACAGGATGGTATCTGTGGAGCTGTTGCGGATAGTCACATGAGCTTTATCCAGAGGCTCCCCGTTCTTTGTCCAGGTCACCACAGGTTTAGGTTTGCCCTGAACACAGCAATAAAACACTTGGTTAAGGCAGAATCCGAACAAGGCCAGAGCTGTCTGAGGGTGGGCAGTGCAATTGGTCAGCATTAGCAAGGTGTTCAGATACCTTCATCATTTTTTAAATGGAGAGATTCACTTCTCACGGGAGTGACAGAGATAACAATCCATTCATTGATTGTCCATTGACTTACTCGTTGACCTACTCCTTGACGAATTAGCCATATTACGAAGCAGCTTCTGTTTATGTAATAGAAGAAATAGGACTGCAGCAAATTGCAGAGGGAGGGTGGGGCAAGGTCATGGATGCATTTAAGGTTAGAACAAGGATTTTTTAAGTGAATATGCTGGGAATAGGAAGCCAAATGAGCCAGGAAATATGGGCGAGGATGGACTCACAGAGCCCGGTACAGGAAAGAATAATAATAATCTTTGCATTTGATATAGCGCTTTTCCCGTCTTCTAGACATCTCAAAGCGCTTCACAGAATATGCTCTAAAGTGAATTGACTGTATATTTTCAGGCAAAACCAAGTTATGGAGTTCTGAATGATCTGGAGTGTGGTGGAGGGTTGAGCTGGGAAGGCTAGTAAGCAGGGCATTGGACAGGTCACATCTGGAAGTAAAGAACACATAGAGGAAGGTTTGGGCTGCGTTGGGGATGAAATAGAGACACAGCCAAACTGCTGAAGTTGGAGAAGTCTGTACATGGAAGCAAGCAGGGTTGAATAGAGGAGATGGGATGGATAAATATACCATGTTTTAGCTTGTTGATCTTGGGGATCTGAGAATATCCATGCTCCTCGGGAGATATTCCACACAGTCTCCAACAGAATAGCCTTTGTAAGGTGCCAACCGGAATATCTTAATGGCTCAATCTCATTCTGTGCTTTCTTATGTTCTTATGTTAAGTGCTCCGAGACGCTGCCCTGTGTGAAGGGCGCTCTGTGAATGCAAGTTGTTGTTGTTCTTGTGTAACTAATGAGGTTGCCTGATTTCATAGGAGATGAACAGGCTGATCAATAAGCGAACATTGATGCTTTGAATCTGAACAAATACAAGTAAATAAAATCCACTGTTGATATTGAAGGTTCCTGATCACAGCCATTGCTGACTATATCGACACAGGCAGCGCTGTGCATGGTACCTTATATTTGCACCAAAGCGTCATATTTACTCACCGTGAAAGGTATAACCAAATTGACAGTCTCTCCGACTTTCTTAAAGAAGGTCCCTCTCAAGTTGCGTGGCAAACGGATCTTTGGGCGATCTGTATTAAGAAATCAACTTAAAATCATAGAATCTTACAGCACAGAAACCATCGTACTTCTTTGAAAGAGCTATCCAACTACTCCCACTCCCCCAACTGTTATGCCACAGCCCTACAAACTTTTGGTTTTTAAGTACCTATCTAATTCCCAGTTAAAGATTATAAATGAGAAAGGTTATAGCTTCTGAGACTCAAAATATCATCTAGTCTCAGCCCTTAGCCATTTTGTCTCACAATTTTAAATTGTGCAAAAATTCTTGATTTCAATCATATTTTTGGAAGCAGGTTTGTAAGATCTGTGAGAAACAGTTTCCAAGTTAATTCTAAATTCACAAAAGCGATTTTACAGAGTAAGACTATCTGGAATTTCAGGCCTCTGGTGCTTTGAACAATATTTCTGCTTCTTTCAAAATCTTTGAACTTAGCCTTTCATCTCTCCTGTCTGTGAGGCATTGCTGGCACACTTTAGCTGACACGACTACATAGCAGCAATTGCAACACTTCAATTGAACTCATTGTATGAAGTACTTTGAGCTATTTCAATGTAATAAGATATCACAGTAAGTATTATTAGATTACAAGGAAGCTTCATGTAACTGAGACCCAAGACTCGTATAGTTACTGCAGATATTTACTGCAAACTTTGTCAATGAGAGTAATGACTGTTCAACTCAAATCATCACGAAATGATCCACTGTAATATGAAATGCATTGAAGGCAAGGCTCTGGTCAGATTCGATTTATTTTTAAAGTTTAGGATTCACAAGAGACATTTAGATGAAGAAGGTCCTTTGACCATTTGACCCCATCCTTCCAGAACGAGTTCAAATGGGTCATCCTACAGAGTCCCAATACAGAGTCAAGCCATTTATTGATGCCAGCATTCTAGGCTCTACCAAACTTCCTATTAACTCAATCTAGCATTGATTAATCTATACTAATAAGATAAAGTGTCTGTCCGCTAATAACGCAATAACCGATTGATGCAGAGATATGATTTATACTTCATTGGAAAGGTCTTGCAGGCGGGAGTGTCATGGACATTTTTTGTTCGGGGATCTCCTATCGTTGATGAACTATGTTTAAAAAAATGCTTTTATTAAGCCCCAAGATATGAGGTATGCATGGTATTCTGCAACAAGTAGTGACAGAGGAAATCACACACCCTTCTAAAGAGAAAAATCTATTCTAATATATTCTGTAACAAATGTATGGCAGTTTTTTTGGGTTGTCGTGGGAACTACAGTCCTCTCAACCAGAAGTCCTCCCAATAGCACATGTTTGTAATCTTAAGGGAAGATGCCTAAGAAGCGAAGATCAACTCTTTCAAGGACAAATAAAAATGCCAGACAAGAGAGAGAAAACTGATTAAGTAAAACTGAAGAACAAAGAACAGCACGGCTGGACTTCAATGCTGAAAGGACTGCAAGAGCAAGGAAAAATGAATTGCACACTCAAAGAGTCCGCCCAGCTGAGTATAGATAAAGACTAACTAGGGGTCTGTCTGTGTGTCAATCTACATTCCACATTGGATCCTTTGGTTTTAAGCAAAGCTGCAATGGGTACAGCTGGTATCTTATAAACCAGTACAGGCTCCAGGCTGCCTCAGTTAGAATGTTTGAGTCCATAAACTCAGATCTCATCTCATAACAAACTTATATAAATCACTTTGCCACTGATGTTACTTCCTGCACCACTGACGGTAATTCCCCCAGCAAGTGATGTCACCAGACTTCCTGTGCTTCAGGTGCATGCACAGCAGGTAGGTAGTAAGTGACGTCAGCGGCACTGCCCGTCAGAGCACACTATGTGAGGGAGGCCGGCTGGTCAGTACTGGGAGCCATTACCTGCAGAAACACACACCGGCCACTCCATCGTTTACCTGAGCTATAAGTAAAGCTTTGCCAAACTGAGACGCTTCCCAACAGAATGTCAGAGATGCCACGGAAACATCCCTTCGCGTTTCATGTTATGGGATTGTTAAACTCCACTTGAGCAAACAAACAGAACTTCAGGTTAATGACTCATCAGAAGGACGGCTCCAGTGACAATGCTGCGTTCCCCAAGTCCTGCACCAGAGCCACAACACATTACCAAGTGAAACAAAAGGAGCCATGACCAATACAGTTACAATGTTATGAGATAATAACGCAACCGTATACAGCTGACAGTGCTGGAACAAGTTGCTATGAGGACTCAAAACAGTGCGTATTAGTGCTGAGTATTTAATCTTAGACAGGTCCAGATGTCCTTCATGACAGCTGTAATAGCATGTGCTACTCCAACACAAGAATCCGCTGAGGAATGTTTCCTTCATACTAACACTTATCGCTACCGTGCTTGTAGAGTGGATGAAATGTGACACCTTCCCAATCCCTCCACATTAGGTCTGATTTTTGGGGCAAAGGTCTCTATTTTAATTACGCTGGCAACTCTTTACTTACCAATTCCCTCCATGATGAGGACAGGCTGTCCTACTGTGGCATGGGCACTTGCTCCACAGGCGTTCACAGCTTTAACACGGACATTGATCTTATCCCCGACAGCAAGTTGTTTAATGATCAAGCAGGTCCTTGTGATCAATTCCTTGTTAGCAACGATCCAGTCTTGCTCTTTGAATATAATAAGGAAAATAAACAGTTCAATTTAACTAAAGGCAAAATACTGCAGATGCTGGAAATCTGAAATATAAACGGAAGACGCTGGGAACCTCAGCAGGTCAGGCAGCATCTATGAAGCGAGTTAACGTTTCAGGTCAGGACCTTTTGTCAGAATGACAGTTTTGACACAGGGCAAAACCTTAGGCAAGTTTCCTTACGCCAGAAGCCTCTGTTTACCTAGCAGTAAGTAGGAACCTGCTTATTATTATAATAATGCTTGTATTTGACATAGAGCCTTATCACATCTTTCAGACATATCAAAACGTTTTAGAGAATATACAGTAAAGCGAATAGACTGTATATTTTCTTGGTGAAACGTGGCAGACAATTGCACACACCAGAGTCTGACAAACCGTTTTGAATTAAAGTGACCAATTTATTATTTTTTTTGAAGGAATTATTAACCCAGAAAAGCGATCGACTAACAACCAGTTTCCTACTTACTGCTCGGTAAACAGAGGCCAGTGGAGTAAGAAAACCTGCCGAACATTTTGCCCTGCCACGAATGAAACCCACTCGCTTGTGAGGGTGAGTGCTCTGACCACTGTACCCCACAAAATACAGCCCACTTTACAATATATTCTGTGAAGTGCTTTGAGATGTCTCAACAACATAATCAGGTGCTATATCAAATGTAAGAATTATTATTATTATAAGAACAAGTGGTCTACAGATTGGTCTTCCTCTTCAAATTAAATATGAAAATTAAACTACAGTTGACGTTCTCTTTCTGTTTTTCAGCAACATTCTGATTATTTCCAAAAGTTTTTTTTGGATTCCCCCCAAAAGATCAAGGTCTTCAAAAGGCAATTTGTGTTGGGAATGCTGAGTTGGGCTCAGTAATTGAATGGATTTTCAGCATGTCAAATCTTATTCCCTCAATTACATGACAGTTAGAATTTCTGGGAATTTTCTTTGGAAGGCCGGATCTTGTAAATCGATCAGATATCATTTTATTTTAAACTTGCAGATTCACCCACTGACACAAGTGACAGTAACTAGAATCAGACACAGTTCACAGACATAAATCCTGGTCTTCAGTTTGTATATCCCAGTCAGTAATTGCTTGACCATTTTCCCAATAAGTTCCACATTCAGATCATCCTCTGTGTAAAGAAAAGCCTGCTTGTGCTCTGGGTAAGCACTCAACCACAAATTATATTTACAAAGCGCCTTTCAGTATATTCTGTGAAGCGCTTTGATATGTCTCAACGACCTGATAAGGCATTATATCAAACACAAAGATTATTATTATTGTAACATCGCACAGCTCCAGAGGTGATTGGTTACGGTTCAGATATGGTTTAGTAGATCTCCAGCATTGCATTAACGAAGAGCATACAATTTAACAAAAGTTCTGAAAGTGGTTTTAAATATATTCATACTTAATATAAATATTAATGAATAATAAATGTGTGTTAGAGACAAGTCTCTATTATATAATGGATTGTTAGACAGTGATATCAAGGGTAAGCTGTGCAGGTTTAGCACTCCAGCAGTTACCCCAACGCACACTCTGGGGTTCTCAAACTTTGGCTCTTGCCAACCTGCGCCTAATACTCTCCAGAATTAGGTAACCAGGAGGCGTCCCTCCAGGTCTCCATTCCAACAATCTATCTCTGGGATTTCCATGGGTAGGTGGGATACATGATCCCAGGCTGGGCAAAATACAATATACTGCACAAGGTGGAGTTATATAAGGCTGCTGATATGTAAGGCTATGAAATTGGATGTTCTAACTCTAGTACCATCTGCAATAACAATCCCAGCTCCTGCTTTATGCTGACTGACTTTATTCTGAAAATGCTGATAATCTCATCACCATCACGGTCATAGCAACTGAAATATTTTTAGACTCACTCCCTTCTTTGCAGTATTCCACAATGTACCCGCCCAGGCCAGAGGGGCCGATGCTCTGGGGTGGGCTCCACTTAAGGGTCAGTGAGGTTTCCTTCACATCCTCCACCTTCAGGTCCAAAGGAGCACTCGGCACGTCTGAGCAAGGAGAGGAGAGAAGGTCAGACTTACTAAAAAAGAACACAATAATAATTTGGTCACTTCAATCCACAACTGTATGTGGGACACTGCTGTGCGTAATTGGCTGTCAAGTTTTGTCCACATAATATACAAACAATTCACTTTACAGTACATTCTGTGAAACACTTTGAGACGTCTCAATGACATGAATAGGTGCTATCTCAAATCAAAACTTACCTAATAGTTGTTGAGTTAATTTTTTTAGGATTGTTGTTATTATTATAATATCGATGAGAAAGTAGGAACCCAGCTGTTAGGTGGATCACTTCCAGGGGTAATAATCTCTTCCCCAAAAAATAATAATTTGGTCACTCAATCCATAACGGTTTATGGGACACTGCAGTGCGCACCTGCGTTTTGCTCACAAACTATAGTCATTACACTTTACAGAGTACTCTGCGAAGGGCTTGTGGGCCGTTTCAGTGACTTGATAAGGCGCTATATCACACGCAAAGTCTATTATTATGATTATTGTTACTATCATAGCTATGATTATTGTTATATAGATTATCATAATCAAGGAACTGAAGGCAGCAAATGCTCGATGGTTAAAAAAAGGCAACTCAACAACTATTAGGTAAGTTTTGTACCTGGTTTGGGAGCCTCGGGTTGTGCTGGAGCTGCTGGAGCTGCTGCTGGAGCTGCTGCTGCTGGAGGAGCTGCTGGAGCTGCTGGAGCTGCTGCTGCTGGAGGAGCTGCTGGAGGAGAGGGCTCGGGCAGCGCAGGGGGTGGGGTGGGTTCTGCTGGTGCTGTTGTGTCAGACATGGTGTGAGGTCCCTGTGCTGGTGATCTGCTGGTGTGGGGCAGTGAGGAGGGGACAGGAACCTCTTATATCCCCTCTGTGGTCCCGGGGCCGCCCCCCCCCTCCCCCCCCTCCCCCCCTCCCCCCTCCCGGAGCCCTGTGGGGCTGAGGCTCCGCCGCTCCCGACGCCAATCACTGCCACTCTGTGTCTGTGGGTCGGACCTCCGACGGCGTCAGTGCCGCAGAGAGAGAGAGAGAGAGTCACAGCTCCGGAGGAGCAACAGCCGACAGCCGTTTGATTTGATCAATAAATGATGGTAATTGGAAGGGCAGTAAAGTGACTGTTTTTCAGTGCTGAGGTTTTCCCCCCTGCCCACTGAGTTCGAGTTCTGACGGGTGAGAGTATCTCCGTTTGATTTGATCAATAAATGATGGTAATTGGAAGGGCAGTAAAGTGACTGCCCACTGCCCACTGCCCACTGCCCACTGAGTTCGAGTTCTGACGGGTGAGAGTATCTGCACTGCCCACTGCCCACTGCCCACTGCCCACTCCCACTGCCCACTGCCCACTGCCCCACTGCCCACTGCCCCCCTGCCCACTGCCCACTGCCCACTGCCCACTGCCCCACTGCCCACTGCCCCACTGCCCACGGCCCCCTGCCCACTGCCCCCCTGCCCACTGCCCCCCTGCCCACTGCCCACTGCCCCACTGCCCCACTGCCCACTGCCCCACTGCCCCCTGCCCACTGCCCCCCTGCCCACTGCCCACTGCCCCCTGCCCACTGCCCACTGCCCCACTGCCCACTGCCCACTGCCCACTGCCCCCTGCCCACTGCCCACTGCCCCACTGCCCCACTGCCCACTGCCCACTGCCCACAGCCCCCCTGCCCACTGCCCCCTGCCCACTGCCCCACTGCCCCACTGCCCACTGCCCCCCTGCCCACTGCCCCACTGCCCCCCTGCCCACTGCCCCCCTGCCCACTGCCCACTGCCCCACTGCCCCACTGCCCACTGCCCCCTGCCCACTGCCCACTGCCCCACTGCCCACTGCCCCACTGCCCCACTGCCCACTGCCCCCCTGCCCACTGCCCACTGCCCACTGCCACTGCCCCCTGCCCACTGCCCACTGTCCCACTGCCCACTGCCCACTGCCCCCTGCCCACTGCCCACTGCCCCACTGCCCACTGCCCACTGCCCCACTGCCCACTGCCCACTGCCCACTGCCCACTGCCCCACTGCCCACTGCCCACTGTCCCACTGCCCACTGTCCCACTGCCCACTGCCCCCCTGCCCACTGCCCACTGCCCACTGCCCCACTGCCCACTGCCCCCCTGCCCACTGCCCACTGCCCCACTGCCCCCTGCCCCCTGCCCCCTGCCCACTGCCCCTGCCCCCTGCCCACTGCCCCCCTGCCCACTGCCCACTGCCCCCCTGCCCACTGCCCCTGCCCCCCTGCCCACTGCCCCTGCCCCCCTGCCCCCTGCCCCCTGCCCACTGCCCACTGCCCACTGCCCACTGCCCACTGCCCACTGCCCACTGCCCACTGCCCCCTGCCCACTGCCCACTGCCCACTGCCCCCCTGCCCACTGCCCCACTGCCCACTGCCCCACTGCCCACTGCCCCCCTGCCCACTGCCCCCTGCCCCTGCCCACTGCCCCACTGCCCACTGCCCACTGCCCCCCTGCCCACTGCCCCCCTGCCCACTGCCCACTGCCCCCTGCCCACTGCCCACTGCCCCACTGCCCACTGCCCACTGCCCACTGCCCCCCTGCCAACTGCCCCCCTGCCCACTGCCCACTGCCCCACTGCCCACTGCCCCACTACCCACTGCCCACTGCCCCACTGCCCACTGCCCCACTGCCCACTGCCCACTGCCCACTGCCCACTGCCCCCTGCCCACTGCCCACTGCCCACTGCCCCCCGCCCACTGCCCACTGCCCACTGCCCACTGCCCACTGCCCACTGCCCCCCTGCCCACTGCCCACTGCCCACTGCCCACTGCCCCACTGCCCCCTGCCCACTGCCCCCTGCCCACTGCCCACTGCCCCACTGCCCACTGCCCCCTGCCCACTGCCCACTGCCCCACTGCCCCACTGCCCACTGCCCACTGCCCCCCTGCCCACTGCCCCCTGCCCACTGCCCCCCTGCCCACTGCCCACTGCCCCCCTGCCCACTGCCCACTGCCCCTGCCCACTGCCCCACTGCCCACTGCCCCCTGCCCACTGCCCACTGCCCCCTGCCCCCTGCCCACTGCCCCACTGCCCCACTGCCCACTGCCCCCTGCCCACTGCCCACTGCCCCACTGCCCACTGCCCACTGCCCTGCCCCTGCCCACTGCCCACTGCCCCACTGCCCCCTGCCCACTGCCCACTGCCCACTGCCCACTGCCACTGCCCCACTGCCCACTGCCCACTGTCCCACTGCCCACTGCCCACTGCCCCACTGCCCACTGCCCCCCTGCCCACTGCCCCCCTGCCCACTGCCCCCTGCCCACTGCCCACTGCCCCCTGCCCACTGCCCCCCTGCCCACTGCCCACTGCCCCCCTGCCCACTGCCCACTGCCCCCCTGCCCACTGCCCACTGCCCCACTGCCCACTGCCCCCCTGCCCACTGCCCACTGCCCACTGCCCACTGCCCCCCTGCCCACTGCCCCCTGCCCACTGCCCACTGCCCCCCTGCCCACTGCCCCCTGCCCACTGCCCCCCTGCCCACTGCCCACTGCCCCCCTGCCCACTGCCCACTGCCCACTGCCCCCCTGCCCACTGCCCCCTGCCCCCCTGCCCACTGCCCACTGCCCACTGCCCCCTGCCCATTGCCCACTGCCCACCTGCCCCCCTGCCCACTGCCCACTGCCCCCTGCCCACTGCCCCCCTGCCCACTGCCCCCTGCCCACTGCCCCACTGCCCCCCTGCCCACTGCCCCCTGCCCACTGCCCACTGCCCCCTGCCCACTGCCCACTGCCCCACTGCCCACTGCCCCTGCCCACTGCCCACTGCCCACTGCCCACTGCCCCACTGCCCACTGCCCCCTGCCCACTGCCCACTGCCCCACTGCCCCACTGCCCACTGCCCACTGCCCACTGCCCCACTGCCCACTGCCCCACTGCCCACTGCCCCCTGCCCACTGCCCACTGCCCCACTGCCCCACTGCCCACTGCCCACTGCCCCACTGCCCCACTGCCCCTGCCCACTGCCCCCCTGCCCACTGCCCACTGCCCACTGCCCCACTGCCCCACTGCCCACTGCCCCCCTGCCCACTGCCCACTGCCCCACTGCCCCACTGCCCACTGCCCACTGCCCCACTGCCCACTGCCCCCTGCCC